AACCGCATGCATGTTTTAATTTTATAATATTACTAGAGGCCCGGTGCACAAAAATTTGTGCACTCCGGGGGGTCCCTCAGCCCGGCCTGTGCCCTCTCGCAGTCTGGGACCCCTCGGGGGATGGCCACCTGCTGGCTTAGGTCCACTCCCTGGGGGACTGGGCCTAAGATAGCAATCAGACATCCCTCTGGCAGCCCGGGAGCCCTCGGGGGATGGCCACTTGCCAGCGGGGAGCAGACCTAAGCTGCAGTTGGACATCCTTAGCACTGCTGAGGAGGCGGGAGAGGCTCCCACCACCACTGCTGTACTGGCAGCCATCAGCCTGGCTTGTGGCTGAGCAGAGCTCCCCCTGTGGGAGCGCACTGACCACCAGGGGGCAGCTCCTGCATTGAGCATCTGCCCCCTGGTGGTCAGTATGTGTCATAGTGACCAGTCATTCCCAGTCGTTCTGCTGTTAGGGTCAATTTGCATATTGCCCTTTTATTATATAGGAGTGCTTAGCCAGCCTGGGTGAGGGGCTGATGGCTGTTTGCAGGCTCGCCACAGCCTTTTCAGTGTGGGGGTTTCCACTGGGGTGCCTGGCCAGTCTGGGTGAGGGGCTGAGGGGCTGAGGGCCGTTTTCAGGCTGGCTAAGCCCCCCAGCGGGGACCCTCACCCCATGAGGGTGTGGCCATCCTGGGTGAGGGGCCGATGGCTGTTTGCAGGCTAGCCACGGCCCCCAGCCACCCAAACTCCCAGTGGAGGCTGCCTGGAAGCAGGTATCTGGGATTTATTTGTCTTCTATAATTGGAACTTTGTTGCCATGAGCGGAGGCCACAGCAGGCTCAGAGCAGGGGGGAAGCTTGGCTTCCTCCATCGCCCGGGCAACCAAGCCTCCTGCTTGCTCCAGCTCCGTGGCTGCCGGCGCCATCTTGGTTGGGTTAATTTGCATACAGTCGCTCTGATTGGCTGGTGGGCATGGCTTGGGGGCGTACCGAAGGTACGATCAATTCGCATCTTTCTCTTTTATTAGTCTAGATATTATAAATACTATTTTGACATAATTTATTACCGTACAAATCTTTCTTCTAATTAATTTCCTTTCAATATGCATGAATCCGTGCACTGGGCCACTAGTGTTTCATAAAGACCTATATATACTGCCCTAATTCTTTCCCTTCTTACTCTCTGTAACTGCCTTATGTTCTGAAAAGCACAATGAAGAAGTACTAAAGACATCATTTAATGCAGTGGTTCTCAACCTTCCTAATGCCATGACCCTTTAATACAGTTCCTCATGTTGTGGTGACCCCCAACCATAAAATTATTTCCGTTGCTACTTCATAACTATAATTTTGCTACTGTTATGAATCGTAATGTAAATATCTGATATGCAGGATATATTTTCATTGTTACAAACTGAACATAATTAAAGCATAATGATTAATCACAAAAACAATATGTAATTATATATGTGTTTTCCGATGGTCTTAGGCGACCCCTGTGAAAGGGTAGTTCAACCCCCAAAGGGGTTGCGACCCACAGGTTGAGAACCGCTGATCTAATGCAATAGTCTTTTCTAAGTTTTTATCTATTAGTCCCTCTAGAACAGCGGTTCTCGCCGAAACCGGTTTGGCTCAGTGGATAGAGCGTCGGCCTGCGGACTGAAAGGTCCCAGGTTCGATTCCGGTCAAGGGCATGTACCTGGGTTGCGGGCACATCCCCAGTGGGAGATGTGCAGGAGGCAGCTGATCGATGTTTCTCTCTCATTGATGTTTCTGACTCTCTATCTCTCTCCCTTCCTCTCTGTAAAAAATCAATAAAATATATTAAAAAAAAAAAATAGAACAGCGGTTCTTACCCTGTGGTTTGCGACCCCTTTGGCGGTCGAACAACCCTTTCACAGGGGTCGCCTAAGACCATCCTGCATATGAGATATTTACATTACGATTCATAACAGTAGCAACATTACAGTTATGAAGTAGCAACGAAAATAATTTTATGGTTGGGTCACAACATGAGGAACTGTATTTAAAGGGCCAGAAGGTTGAGAACCACTGCTCTAGAACGTTCTCTTCTGTCTTTCCAGAGCACCTTCATTCTCAATACTTCAATTGGTACCTCTATGAAGATCCTTTCACATTTCCAGTTATACTACAGTAACAGTTTAAGACTAGCTATGCATCAGAACCACACATGGAACTTTAAAAAATCCCTAGGCCCTACTTCTGCAGATTCTGATTCAGTAGAAATGGAGTGTAGCCAGAACATTGGTCTACTTTATAAAGCTCCACAGGTTCAAATAAGGTTGAGAATAATTAGAACTACAGGCAGAATTTTTCATCTTTCCTTTGAATTCTGAACTTAATCCCTTCATGAATTTCTTTCACACACATCTATGTGCCTCAATAATTTCTGGAGTCTGATCACTTACATGAAGATATGAGGGGTTTTCTGGGAAATATCATATCACAGCACGGTGTATGCAATCATATTACTGACTCCTTTCTGAAGCAACATACAAATACTCCCATCTCTCGTACCTCTAAAAGAAATAGCTTTCTCAAACTTTTGGTCTCAGGACCTCTTTATGCTCTTAAAAACTACTGAAGACTCTAAAGAGTTTTTGTTCTGTGGGTTTATGTTTACTGATACTTACTATATTAGAAATGAAAACTAAGATATTTAAAAACTATTATTTCATTAAAACAATAAGCCCATTACATGTAGAATAACTTATTTTTTTTAAAAAAATTATCACGTCATGTAGATCCCAGAAAAGTCTACTGTACATTTATGAGAGTAAGAGTAAAAGTAGTTACAGTAATGTCTTAGTATTATTACAAAACTAGTTTTGACCTAAGGACCCCTCAAGTCTTGGAATTCCCCAGGGTCCATAACAATACTTTGAGAACTGTTGCTACCTATAACCCAGGATATTTAGGATATTTAGATTGTTGGTACCAATATTTATTGAGTGACTAAATTATATTTTGGGCACAATTAAAAGACTTTACTCATTCATTTATTCATCCATCAAATATAATTTATTAAGTATATGCCATGAGCTCTCTGTCCTACTTGTGCTCTTACCTCACTGACATTACAATGTGGAAATCTGAACTTTTGCTAATGAGAGCTTAAGACAATCCCATATTTCTCTGCACATTCAGTGACAGCAGCAGCTGTTCTATTTTAGGCCCTGTCACATGTAAGTGGAGAACATACAAGCACAAATTCAATCTTGTAAGATTCTAAGCTGCACCTATGTATCATTTATCTCTAGACTCAGATCATAACCTCCAGTTAAAAGTAAAATCTTTTCTTGCCCTAGACGGTTTGGCTCAGTAGATAGAGCAATCAGTCCATAGACTGTCCCGGGTTCAATTTCGGTCAAGGGCACGTACCTTGATCCCCAGCCCTGGTTGGGGTGCATGCTGGAGGCAACCAATTGATGTGTCTCTCTCTCTGTCTCTCCCGTCCCTTCCACTCTCTCTAAAAATAAGTGGGAAAATATCCTTGGATGAAGATTAACAACAACAACAAGAACAACAAAAGTAAAACCTTTTCTGATCCTTTATGGACCAGATCCTATTTCACCTCATCTATTAAATCACCACTGATCTTCTTAGACCAACCTCCCTACCTAAAGTCCTATGTAAAAATTTTTTTCTTATAACATTTCTCAATGCTGTGTTTTCTATTCAATCTCTGGTACCAGAAATTCCTTAAGTAAAAGACTGCACCTTTGTATATCCTGAGAACCTGGTCAATTCAAAGTGTTTATCAGGTCTTTAACATATAGTTAGCACAATGAATATATTTCTGGCTTCTATGAACTCTAAAATTATAAAACAAATTATATATAAAACATGGTATACTATGTAATATTTATTTTTAAAATCTTTAAATATAAATCACTGGAATTAAATATTCATTTGTTATACCTAAATATCTGTCATGAAATGTACTCACTTGGATTCAGCTGTTCAAGAAATTATTAAAGAATACATTTCTTTGCAGGGTCTAATCTTAGCTACAGACCCTATTTAAAATATATATATTTTGAGGATATGTTGGCATGTTAACTGTTAATCATAGAACTAATTATGTTTGACCTACTGGATATTATTTCTTATGTTTTTCAACATATAGGATAAAAAATTAATTTAGAAGCTAGTTTACCAAACATTTTTTCATATGTATAAAAAAGATCTAGAGTTATAAAATTTTGAATAAAGGTTCATTCTAAAACGCTGATATAACAGCTAAGAATGTTAACTAGTCATATATAATTAAGTGTTCAGTTACTACCTTAAATCCAGTTTGGAACAAGATGGTTATACAAAAATAAGCTTCCTGATTACCAAAAATAACTATATATGTAGAGTTCCAAGATCACTTAGATCACATCTAAAGCAATCAATTCTGGGTGTCACCTTTGGAGAATTCAACAAATCTTAAAGGTCCCAGATAATAAAATAAAGAGTCAAGAAGTCATTTTCTATGCAGAATAGTAGTCTCCATATATTTAAAAGGTTTTCATATAGAAAAGGAAGTACGCTTCCCTTATTTCTCTGTAAAATTAACAGGTAGGGCATGATTTAAATCAAGTCAAGAGAATTTTCTAGTAAACAGCTATCTCCAATAACAAAAGAAGTTGTCTTATGGGGCGGTATGCTCTTTCACTGAATATATTTAAGTTAGAGTTATATAGTCATCCATAAGATAGACTGTTAAAGGAACATCTAAGATGAAGACCTCATGATATGTAAGGTCCTTTACATATCATGGTCATAATTTATAATTTAAATATACTTTAGACTATTTGTATATTGAGGTTTAGAAAAAATTTAAGGTAACAAATTTTTTACCAGATTTTAAAATGAAACAAAAACTTGAGAGTAAATACAAACCCCAAAGGGTACTGATCTATTTCCTCCATGTTTTAAGTATGTACCAAAAATAGTATACTATGAACCCATAAATAAGAGCTCTTTATTCTAACTTGCAAAACTTACCAGAATTCTGTTGGATTCCCCATCGTACTCTCATCCTGAATTGTCGGGCACCACTTTGCTGGAGTCTTCTATTTAGTCGTGGAAAATTCTGCTTCTTTCCTTCCTTTCGATTCAATTTGATGATATCGTCTGTGATAGAGGAAATGCAATGATTATTTACTTTCATTTTAACTTACTGACTCAATTACTCAGTCTCATTTTCTAATTCAGTGGTTCTCAACCTTCCTAATGCCGTGACCCTTTAATACAGTTCCTCATGTTGTGGTGACCCCCAACCATAAAATTATTTTCGTTGCTACTTCATAACTGTAATTTTGCTACTGGTATGAATCATAATGTAAATATCTGATATGCTATATGTGTTTTCGATGGTCGCAACCCACAGGTTGAGAACCGCTGTAGATTTCCATATCCCTAACTTCTTTTCTACTTTGAAAGCACTTCCATAAGAGGATAATAATGACAAGAAGATAAAAACTCAAATCAGCCAATGCACTTGGACCACTGAAAAAAGATTTTGTTGGAAACTTATACAACTCAACATTAGGAAGCCAAACAATCCAATTTAAAAATGGACAAAGAGCCGAAACCGGTTTGGCTCAGTGGATAGAGCGTCGGCCTGCGGACTGAAAGGTCCCAGGTTCGATTCCGGTCAAGGGCATGTACCTGGGTTGCGGGCACATCCCCAGTGGGAGATGTGCAGGAGGCAGCTGATCGATGTTTCTCTCTCATCGATGTTTCTAACTCTCTCTCTCCCTTCCTCTCTGTAAAAAATCAATAAAATATATTTAAAAAAAAAATGGACAAAGGCCCTAGCTGGTTTGGCTCAGTGGAGAGAGTGTCGGCCTGCGGACTGAAGGGTCCCGGGTTCAATTCCGGTCAAGGGCACATGCCTAGGTTGCGGGCTCAATCCCCAGTATGGGGCGTGCAGGAGGCAGCTGATCAATGATTCTCTCTCATCATTGATGTTTCTATCTCTCTCTCCCTCTCCCTTCCTCTCTGAAATCAATCTATATATATAAAAGCCTAAGTGACCAGTTGACTGGTTAACCGGTAGCTATGATGCGCACTGACCACTAGGGGGCAGATGCTCAACACACAGGCATGGAAATGTGGAACAGACTGATGAATCTCAGAGGGAAGGGGGGAGGGAAAAGGGCAGGAAGAGATTAACCAAAGATCTTATATTCATACTAGAGGCCCAGTGCACAGATTCGTGCACTGGTGGGGTCCCTCAGCCTGGCCTGCGGGGATCAGACTGAAACTGGTTCTTTGACATCCCCTGAGGGGTCCTGGATTGCGAGAGGGTGCAGGCCAGGCCATGAGACCCCACTAGTGCACAAATCTGTGCACCCTGCCTCTAATAAAAATATATATTTTTCAAAAATGGACAAAGGACCTGACTAGACACTTCTCCTAACAGGACATACAGATGGCCAAGAGACATATGAAAAAATGCTCACGGTCACTAATTATCAGAGAGATGCAAATCAAATCTACAATGAGATATCAATTCACACCTGCCAGAATGGCTACTATCAATAAACCAACAAACAATAAGTGCTGGTGAGGATGTGGTGAAAAGGAAAACCTTCTGCCCTGCTGTCTGGAATGCAGACTGGTGTAGCCATTGTGGAAAACAGTATGGAGTTTCCTCAAAAAGTAAAAATGGAACTGCCTTTTGACCCACCAATCCCACTTTTGAGAATATATCCTAAAAATACCCCCAAAAAACAATCAGAAAGAATATATGTACTCCTATGTTCATAGCATATGAACTTGGCTATTTACAATAGCCAAGATCTGGAAACAGTCCAAGTGCCCATCAGCAGATGAGTGGATAAAAAAAGCTGTGGTATATTTACATAATGGAATACTAAAAGTCTGTAAAAAAAAGGAAGTCTTACCCTTTGTGACAGCATGGATGGACCTGGAGAGCATTATGCTAAGTGAAATAAGCCAGTCAGAGAAAGACAAAAACCATATTATCTCACTAATATGTGTAATCTAATGAACAAAATAAACTGATGAACAAAATGGAACCAGAAGCAAGAATACATGAAACATACGGCTGGTGCCCAAGGAGAGGAGGATGGTAGTGACTGAATAAAGAAGGTGAAGGAAATAACTAAAGAACATATATGCATACTCCATGGACACAGACAATAATTTGGTAAAGGCCAAGGAAGGGGATGGGGGGAGGGGACTCCTGTAATAATGTCAACATTAAAAAAAGTTTAATAATAAAAAAAATAGCCCGAAGCAGACCTACCAATTAACGAAGATTTCTGTTATCCATACTATTACTTTCCCTGATAAAGGTAAATAAGTGAAAGCCTGTTTACTAGTATAAAAATTACTAATACTTCTTTTCATAATCACAGAAATCTCCAGTTTTTAAAGATGACCAACTTTCAATAAAACCACAGGCAGTCAAAAAATAAATCATTCCATTAAAAGACTAAATGTATAAGTTCATCTCAATTCAGCAAATATTTATTAAGCATATACTATGTTCAATAAATATAGGTGGCAGACTATGCCTTAACAGAAACAAACAAAAGTAATACATGACTCCTGTTCTCAATAAGTTTAAAATTATTGATGGAAACAGACATGTAAATAGCAAATACAAAATTAAATATTGGTTTCTGTTCCTCTAGCAAAGTTACCTTATTTTCCTTTCTATACTGCTCTTATTTTCCAAAACACTTTCAAAGTGCCCCAAGGTAATTCCACAAGCCTCACATGGCTGTAACACCACAACAGAACAATGCAAAGATCAGGAAACAATATTTTCTCCAGATTCCCATTTACCTCTGTTAAAAGGAAGTTACTGCCCAGCTGGTGTGACTGGTGCAGCTCAGTGGTTGAGCGACAACCTACAAACCAGGAGGTACAGGTTAGCTTCCCGGTCAGGGCACATGCCCAGGTTGCGTGCTTGATCCCTAGTGTGGGGCATGTAGGAGGCAGCTGATCAATGATTCTCTCTCATCACTGACATTTCTATCTCTCTCTCCCTCTCCCTTCCTCTCTGAAATCAATAATAAAATATATATATATATGTATGTATATATATGTGTATATATATATATTTTTTTTTAAAAAAGGAGGTTACTAGAACTGGGAATAGAGTCAATATCTTTAAAACTATTCACGGTGTAGATGGTTAATACACTTATTGTGGTGATCACAACAAAAGGTATATAAATGTTGAATCACTATGTTTAACACCTAAAACTAATACAATATTGTATGCCAATTATACTTCAATTATTTTTTTAAAAGGTTACTAGAAGCCAAAAATGTTCATTAAAGAAATATCCAAACAATTTCTCCACAGTCCCAACTTCCAATATTAATTCTGATGACTGAAAATAGAGCAAATAAACCAAAGAAATTGAACATGGTCAACAACTTAAAAAAATTTCACAAAATTAATTAACCTCGGGAATTTCCCCCCAAAATACTGCTCTAAACAGTCTATCTGAAAAAAAAAGGAAACTTATAGGGGTCCTTTCTTATATATTACTAGAGGCCCGATGCACGTAATTCATGTGTGGGGGAAGGGGGGTCGTCCCTCAGCATGGCCTGCACCCTCTCCAATCCGGGACCCTTCGAGGGATGTCCGACTGCCACAGGGAACAGTCTTAAACCGGCAGTCGCACATCCCTTTCGCAATCTGGGACCGCTGGCTCCTAACCACTCACCTGCCTGCCAGCCTAATCGCCCATAATCCCTCTGCCTGCCTGCCTGATCGCCCTTAACTGCTCCCCTGCCTGCCTGATGGCCCCTTAATGCTCCCCTGCCTGCCTGATCGCCCCTAACTGCTCCCCTGGTGACCTGATTGCCCCTAACTGCTCCCTGTTGGCCTGATTGCCCCTAACTGCCTCTGCTTCGGCCCCCGCACTCAGGACCCAGATTTCCCTCCTCTGGCCGGCCAAAGGTACCTGGGACCCGGGCCAGCCATGGGCGCCCAGGACCCCGGGCAGCTTTGCCTGAGCCTGGCTTTGTCAGGAAGAACATCCAGAATGTCATCCAGAAGACGTCCAGTCTAATTAGCATATTACCCTTTTATTAGTACAGATGATAGATTACCTCATCCATCAGCAATCTTTAAGACTCTTAATCACATTCAAATAAATCAGGAAGAACATCCAGAATGTCATCCAGAAGACGTCCAGTCTAATTAGCATATTACCCTTTTATTAGTACAGATGATAGATTACCTCATCCATCAGCAATCTTTAAGACTCTTAATCACATTCAAATAAATATTCATATAAAATAATTCATATTCGCCCAAATTACTTCGTTATCTTCTGGAGATTAATCCTTCAACTACAAAAGAGTTCTTCAAAGTTAGACACTCAAAAAATGAAAAGGTTTAATGAACATCAGGTACATGTTAAATGAGCATGTTAAATTCTCAGTGAGCAGAAAGAAATAGACACTTCTTTTGAAACACTTTAACAAGATAAGGTGCTATTTTTCACCAGAAATCTAAAATCTCAGTGTCTTGAGAGTACACACAAAAAAATGAATTTGGTCTAAGGACCATTAAAAAATAAAGGGGGGGGGGCAGGGTATAATTTTGATTAACCCAATTAATCTATAATGATAAAAGCATAATATGCTAATTAGACTGGACGTCCTTCCTGCCGGCAGCCGAAGGGAAGCATGTGTCCTGGGTGCCTGCCAGCGGCCGGAGGTAAGCCTGGTTCCCAGGTGCCAGAGGGAAGCCAGTGCCAGCAGCTGGGGGAAGGAAGACCTACTCTTGCATGAATTTCATGCATCAGCCCTCTAGTTTTAAAATAAAGCAGTATAGAGTATAAACAGAACTAAAAATTAAAAGTAGTAAAACATATCAACTATAAAATTATGTTTAAAAATTTGATCTAAATCCTACAGTTAAATGAGCTACTATGACAAAGAGGATTATTCCAATCTAAAAGAAGAGAATGGCTTTCTCCTACTCAAGGAGCAGATAGGATAGGTATAAGAAGAAAAAAATACATTATGATGAGCTACTTTTATAAAAAAGTTTCTTCCGTAACACTAGTACCATATATATGGTACTAATAACAGTAATAGTATGAACTGAGTACTAATAGGCATTGTTTTGACATATATTCATTTAATTTTCACATTTCTATGAAATAAGTATTATAATACTCATTTTCAAATTAAAGAAACTGAGCCACAATGAGGCCAGCTATTGGTAACCTTGGTAAATATTCTCTATGAATATTTATATAATCAAGGTAGAACCACAAATTAAAACAAAACAAAAATTAGAGCGCTCGATTCGGCAGCACATATACTAAAATTGGAACGATACAGAGAAGATTAGCATGGCCCTGCGCAAGGATGACACGCAAATTCGTGAAGCGTTCCATATTTTAAAAAAACACACACACACAAAAAACAAAAATTAGAATCTAAAACCCCTGCAGACCTGATAAAATTAAATACTCATGAAGCATAACCATTGTTTAAAATAGATCTCTCTCTCTCTCTCACTAAAATTCTCACTAAAACAAAAAAAAGGCACCTGACACAATGCTCTTGGAGTAGACCTAACAGTGTGTTCCTGAAGGAGAAAAAAAGAGATCAAGTTGTTTTAACTATCTACACAGCACTTCATTTCTACCTTCAAACATCATTATCCCTGTTTTCTTCACTTGACCATGGTAATCACCAAACAAAACACATACAAAACCCCTAGAAACTTAAAATAATGTCCTGGTTATGAAAATATCTGTTTAACACTTCCTATAAATATCTATAGCTTAGGTCTCTAGAGCAAGAACAAAATCCTTGCTCCAACACTTACTTCTAGGAATTTGGACAAGTTATTTAATTTCTCTACATCCCAGGTTTCGTAAAATGGGAATAACTACATATAATATATATGTATATGTATGTAGAGAGAGTAAATATAGAGCTATCTGTGTACCAGATACTGTCCTAAGCAGTTTATATATGCCTCTTGACTCATTTAATATTTACATCAACCCTCTAAGGCAGATAAGCCTATTATCATCACCTTTTTACAGATGAGGCACCGAGAAGTCATTTGCCCACAATCACATGGCTATTAAGTGGTAAAAAGCAGGATTTCAACTGAGTGTGGTTCTGGATTCCGTGCTGTCATTAAAAACACATCTCACAGGGTGATTGAGGCTAAACCGAGTTTACACATATTAAATGCTTAGTCCAGTGTCAGGAAGGTAGTAAGCACGCCATAAACAGTCGTTATTATATATATATACGTGTGTTTTTTTTTTGCTTGGCCTTAGCTAAAAAGATTTCTCATTTCTTTAGGGTTTACTAAGACAAGACTTGAGGCCGATCATTTCCGATGTTACTTCATTCATACTATCCTGGGTTCTGACTTGTGGCAATCATTGAAACCAAGAGGTTTTTTTTGTTTTTTTTTTTTTTTTACTACAACAAGCTCTGCAGGTAAACCACAACAAAAGAAAAAAAAAAAGTCCTGTCCCGGAGAAAGTGACACCTCTGCATCCACTCGTCAGGTGCTTTTCAAAGGCGCCCCAAACGGCAGTCCCCGGAAAGAGCTGGCAGAGCGTGAGCTTCACCTAATCCCGTAACTGGAATCCCCACAAAAAAAAAAAAAAAAAAAAAAAAAAAAAAAAAAAGGACTTCCATTTAAACTGGCCGAGCCAAACACAGAGACTCGCTCCTCGGCGGTGCTAGGCCTGACTTTTTAATTAAATCACCGACCCTGCCGCTTTTTGCACGTCCGTCACCAACCCGCGCCACCCTCTTCGACGCGCTAGATCCCACGCTCTACCCGGCTTCGCATCCACCCAGATCTCTCCCTTGGTTTTTGCTTCCTTTATTTTTTTTTTTTTAAATTTTTTCCTAGTTAGCCAGGCCTGGGTAAGGAGGCTGTGCTTTTTCGCAGGCACCGCCTAATGAAGCGCCCGCGGATGAAGTCCAGCCGAACGAAATTCTCTCTGACCGCCGCTCCGGGGTCGGTGCCCGTCAGAGCCGCCACCTCTCGGGGCCGCTCCACACCTCCTCGTGCGGCGCCGGCGCGCCCCGGGCCCGGGGAAGGTCCAGCGAGCGAGCCCGCGTCTGGGAAGCACTGATGTGACCCGAACGCGGGCCGGGCCGGGCCGGGCTCGCCAAGCTTTCCTCAGAAACCGGGTCGGCCGAGCCGGACCTTCCCCTCCGCGCCCGGGATAACGCCCACCGCGAGCACGCCGGAGCGAAAACCCGCGGAGCGGTCCGGTCCTCACAAAGAGCCGGGGTCCCCCGCGAGGGGCAGCCCCCGGCAGGGCGAACAGGCCCCGCGCCCCTCGGCCCTCCACACCGCCGGGCCCGCAGCGCCCCCCGCCGGCCGCCCCTCAGACAGCCCCGCCGAGGCGGCGGCCGGGCCCCCCAGGTTCGACCCCAGCCCTCGGTTCCGCGGCGCTCCCCGGCCCCC